CCAAAACAGTGCCATACACCAATACACAACCATATTTATTGATGCAATGGCGTGCCCTGAACTAAAATAAGACCAGGCAAAATATAATAATTTACATTATGTTCAAAATGTTAACCAGTTCAGTCAAGATCTTTGGACCAAGCTATGATGTTTATATATATATATATATATATATATATATATATATATATATATATATATATATATATATATATATATATATATATATATATATATTCACTTATGATTTTTTTATTATTAATAGTTAATTTGTTCCTATTGCTAAATTTTTATTTCAAAACAATTTATTGCTTACTATAAATTACTACACTATTAAATGTGGGAAATCATTAATTCAAAGGTTATTAGAAAATTAAGCTAATAAACACTATTAAATAGCTTGAGTAAATATTAACATAGTGTTATACATTTGTTACATGTAAAAATATTTTTATTACATATAATGTATTATTGCCTATATTAACTTGCTATTATTTCCTTCCTCATAAATTAATCCATTATATGAATTAAACCTGTTCAAATTAGATCGTTCAGCAAAGCTATCTGTATCTGTGTAAAAATGAGTGCACTTCAGTAGCACAGTCTGTGAAGCATATTATCATTTTCATAATGCAGATTTCTTTGCTTAAGCAGGGCAGTCTCGGACCTGCCTGAGTCACACTGGTGGACTCTCATCTGAACTGTGAAGCTCATCTACTGTGATCAGCAGAAGATTGTATGCTGTTGCGCCCTCTTGATTTTCATCATCTGATAGATGGGAGGGTATCTGAGTGGTGACATGGGTTCAGTTGTCAGCGTTGGCTGGGCAAATCCAGTAAGATCATAATCTGCATATTGGGCGGGAAGGGCAGTCTTTCTTCTGACGCACCCGTCTGACTCATCTTCTGGATGCATTGACATCTTATGGCATCAAACGGTTAAAAAAACAATATGGATATTTCTTAAACACCGCATGTCTTTCTTGTACCGCGTGTCTTTGGACTTGTAAACCCGAACACCCGCAGGAAACCCACGCAAATGCGAGGAGAACATGATGTAAACTTAACACAGATATGCCAACTGACCCAGCTGGGGCTCGAACCAGAGACTATTGCTGAGGAAATCGTGCTACTCACTGCGCCACAGTAACACCAGCTCTATTATTTAGTAGTGTTTAATCACAAGTAACCAACATTTCATTTCATTGCTGCTCAATTTCCTCATCTGATGATATTAAAATATTTGAAAGCATCAAATATAAAAGCACATATTTATATTTTATTAGTCACTGATTCTCTCTATATGTTTTCAATGTGATTTGGAGTAATGTATAACCTATTTAATGGTTTTATCTCCCTCTAGTGGCTGAATTTAAAATCCCATTGCTTTAAAGAGCCCATATTATACATGAAATAGGGTCATATCCTGGTTGTAAGGGTCTCCAACAACAGTCTAATATGCATGCAAGGTCAAAAAACACTTTCATGGTCTTATAATCTGCATTTATTTTTACCTAATTATCCCAGCGACTCCTGTATGAATCGTCCAGTGATTCATTTGTTCCCAAACCCCTCCTTAGCGCGGAGCTAATCTGCGCTGATTGGACCGATGACAGTCTGTCGCGATTGGTCGACTGCCTTCAGTCAGAGAGGGAAATGGCCAATAGCTAATCAGCAATTTAAAAAGTAATCACAGTTCATACATGCTCGATAGTGTAGACGTGGATTTTAGCTGCCACACTATGGCGAGTGGATAGTGCCACGGATAACCGAACGAAGGAGACAGTCGTGTACTCGCCATACCACACACACACAAAAACACACACACACACCTCCGGATACCAACGCTCCCGCTTCCGCCCGCACCCGCCAGGTTTTAGCCTGAGAACCCGCTCCGTTTTCTGCCCGCCGCGCCCGGTCCCGCTAGAGCGGAGAACACAACCAAAAATCACCCAGTGTACAGTCCAGACAGCCAAGCTGTCTGTATACACACAGCACAAAGCTCGTTCGTTCGTTCGCTCTCTCTCTCTCTCTCTCTCTCTCTCTCTCTCTATCTATNTCTCTCTCTCTCTCTCTCTCTCTCATACGCGCGCGTGCGCACTAACACACACACAAGCACCACGCAGACTCTCTCTTTCTAATTCGCATAGCAATATCCGTGATATTGCTAGACAGCCCGCTCCCGTCCCAAATTAAACCCGTTACCGACCGCTCCCGCGATTTATTCGGAAATTTATTCCCGCGGCTGTCCCCGCGCCAGATTTCTGCGGCGCGGGAATAAATTTCCGAATAAATCGCGGGAGCAGAACTCTAGCACGGAGCTCCATAAACAAACAGCACGCGTCGCGTTTTTAACGTGACTTTGCACGCGATAAGATAATATATCCAGTTAACCTGATACAGTACACGCGGTTACAAGTAACAAATCACAACTAAATACATTTGCAAGCTAGAGTCAACGAGGCAACAACTTTAACCGCACGTACTTACACTTGAGAAATGGAAGAAACCCATCCTGACGTCCATCAGTTACTCTTTACTGATCCTTCCTTTAACAAACTCAGATGAAGTATTCTTTGTAGCATGTAGCTTCCAGAAGTTTCCAACTGCTTGGTTATAATGCTGATGTTTCATCTTTGGGTAGAGACTCAATATAATGTCCATCTGCAGTGTTACTTCAATCGACCGGCATGTTTGTGTGCGTGTGTTTGTGGGTGTGCGTGTGTGTCTGGGTTTCTGCGTCAGAGGGCGGGGCCTCAGGTTTGAAATCTCCCGGGTTTGCGCGTGCACGTGAATAACTTGGTTTCGTTCGTACGTCATGGCGAAACACCTAATGAGTCGGTATCAAGGCGACTCGTTTGAAGCACTATGAGTCGACTCTTTTATAGATGAATCAACCGTTTTAAACACTGTATTCTTACAGATTTAAGCCTTAGCTGGATACTTCACTTAGAGCTGTGTTACACACTACATGGAGGGGAATTTTCAAAAACCCATAATATGGGCTCTTTAACTGCTTTTTAAATGATCCACTGATGAGCCAAAACATTATGACCACTGACCAGTCCCAATTTAAATATAAAGACATTTAAATACACTGAATGTGCAGGTGTGTAAAAGCGTTCAGACTTCCCCCCATCGTTTTTGTTCAGTTCAGGTAACATCTGTTTTTGAGTGGGAAATACAAAATATCCTGCTTTGTTTATTTTAATTAATCTTAAACTCAAATATCAGCTTGTAAATGAAGTTGTTCTCGTTTTGCATATTCACACGTGAGAGTTCACTTCATTGGATTTTTTTTAACTGTTTGCTGAAATAGTATTACATTCACCAAAGTAAGTGATCAATAACCATAATTAAATCACAATAAGTGTGTTATCCACAAAAAATACCAAGGCCTTTAATACGAAAAAAAATGCTGCCATCTGGTGCTCAAAAAGATGAAGTTCATCAACAAAAACTTTCGTCAGGAAATAAATGCAGTAAGTCAGTAAGTTATTTCTGTAAGATCAACTGACCATTAAAATATTATAATTTAGTTCAATTTCATAATATTTTGTGAATAATGGACTTACTTCTAAAGTTATAGTCTCATTTCATCTTCAGATTAGTTTGTATTAAATTTAACAGAACTAGAGAATATTATTTAATTTTGTTAAGCAGCTTCTTTTCTTCAGTTGTTCCTGTTCAGATTCAGTCTACTCTAAAACATGTTTTGTATAAACAATAAATCAATACCATCCAACACAATTTTCACGCAATTTTCCTTTATTATGTTTGGCTAGGATAACAATTGAATTCAAAAATATATTTTCAAGCATTTTGTGTGAAAACAGTTGTTAGAAAACAAGCTGAAACAATATTTGTCCACTAAACTTGGGGACACAAATGATCAGTTAGTAAGTATTTGACATGTATTCATTAAGAACATGCAGTGGTCAAAAATGACTAACAGAATAATTAATAAATCAAAAGCAAATTCACAACAGTGTGACATCACATCAGTAAGTGCTCAAATTGAACAAGAGCTTCTTTAGTTAAAAGCTAATTTAAGTGCTTCAGCATAAATACAAAGTTCTTTATATACTAAATCTGACATGCAGATCAGATTTAGATAAAGAAGCAGATTCACTTTAGAATATGTCACGGAAAAACATATCAAAGCATAATAAAATGACAGTAAAATAACAGACTCAATAACAGTAAATCATAACAAGTATAATAAAACAAAGTTTAAAGTTCAAATGAAAAGTAAAACACTGTAAATAAAAGTTACAGCTGATTAACTTCAATAATAAAAGTGTAAAATATACTGAAACTAAATGTAGCACTGATAGTCAAAGGTGTTTCTAAAATGTGAGTTTCATACATGAGACCCCAAAACAGTGACATTATCCTGATATTGGTCTTAATTATAAAATTAATAATTAATAAATATCACACAAAATGATTAGAGTAACACTGCTGTGATAAAATGTCTTATAAAAGCTGCTCACTTTCTAAAATCACACAAAGCTTTGAGGGTCAAACTGCTAACAGAGTAACATATGATGTGTAACATTCACAAAACAACATGAAAGTGTTTTATCAGCACATTTTTGAGTTCATCTAAAATATTTTTACATGCGAGTTTAACGGCTGATCAAACACAGATTTGTTTCTTACTTTACTGGACGGATTCTAGAAGCTCTGAAAAGCGGAAAGATGATTGTTTGTTTGTAGTTGGAGCTTTACATGTTGATGAGGTCACAGTGATTGACACTGGTGGGCGTGTCTTCTCTCATTAAACTGGACTCGTCCTCTCATTCGCATACACAATATCCTCAAAATCTCTAGGTAATAGTTTCTGTTCTTCAGGCAATAAAGCAGGCTCTTGGTTTTCTGCGGGAGCTAAAACAAAGATGGATATTAATAAGAGAAGATCTGAACATCAAGTCTGTGGTCATTTCTTCAGTCTCTGTTAACTAAACAATACAGACAAGCAGCAAATAGCATCTGCAGCGCTTCATTATGACTGGAATATAAATGAATTATGTGTTCAGCCGGAGATCTTTAATCTCACATTTGCAAAGACTGAAATGATTTACAGTATAACTGGAGTCTGTACAGTTTCTGCTTAATTACCAGCAGTAAAGAAAGCAATGTATGAGCAAGACTGCTTACACAGATACTCACAATGGAAAACAACATTGAATGCTCTGATTGGGGCTCCAGTGCTATTCTTGATCTGGAGACAATAACGCCCAGAATGTGCAGGTCTGCCGTTCTTGATGATCAGAGATCCAGTCTTCTTGTCCAGAACCAGTGTCTCTTTGAATCTCTCACCTGGACCAGCAGATGGAAACTTTATTTGTCCATCTTTAATTTTAGCTATTGGAGACTTAGAACCTTCAAACTTCCATTCTACTTCATCTTCTATCTGTATTTCTACACCACTCTGTAAAACAGCTGTATCTCCCTCTGTGAATATCTTATCCTCCGCTTCATGTCACAGAAACAGAGAAATGATAAGAGAGTCAGTAAAGCATCACTGCACACAAAGAGACAGAAATATCCTGTTGATGTAAAAGCAAGAATAAATTACAGAGGTAAATACGAGATACTGAAACTATTATATTAGAACAAAACATTGTTAACATAAAAGCAGTATTCTCCTATAAACGCTATTTAAGATTAATCTGCAGAGTAAATGTATCTACAGCTTTATATCAGCATTTCATTCATCATAATATTAACTAAGGCAAAGAAAACAGAATGAATGACAATTACACTAACACTATATAACAACTATCACATTTTAGTTTAAATGAGAGTAAATCTGTGGTCACTATTAAGCACAAACAACTCACGTGGGATATAAACAATGAACACTTGTATTTTGTTTCTTCTCCAGCTGCTGATCTTCATTTTAAAAACTCCGGTGTGTTTAAAAGTGATGTTGTTGATGGTCAGAGATCCAGTCTTCTTGTCCAGCTCCAGTCTGTCTTTGAATCTCTCATCAGGATATGTTATCTTTCTGGTCACTCCAGTCATTTTAGCAATCAGATCATTTTTATTTCCTAAGAGCCACTGTATCTCATCATCTCTCTGTATTTCAGTATCAGGCTTCAGAGTTTGAGAAGCTCCTTTCTGTGCTGCTATCTTATTATCTTAATATGTGACAGAAGAACAAATAACAGAGAAAAGGTTGGCATTAGATCAAGCAGACAGTTTGAGTTTTTATGAGAGGAAATAAACAATACAAATATCAAAATCTGCTCTCACAGTCCAATAAATAAATATGGCAGGAGGCAACAATGATTTTTTAAACACTGCAGTGACAGCAAGTGTACATCCAAAAAATTATGATTAAAAAAAAAAAAAAAAAGTGAAAAAGAAAAACACATGGAGTAAGAACTGTGACAATCATTGTACTGAATGAAAAGTCACCTGTAATAAGAACAGTGAATGTCCTTCTTATGTTTTCTCCACTGCCCCTGATGATCTCTAATGTATATTTTCCAGTGAGTTTACGACCGATGTTGTTTATGGTCAGAGATCCAGTCTTCTTGTCCAGCTTCAGTCTGTCTCTGCCTTTCCATTTAGGATTATTGGATGTAAAGATCTTTCCATCTTTGAATCCAGCTATCGGGGAGAGTTCATTCCAAAACCACCACTGTATCTCATCACCTGGATGTAGTTTAGTTTCAGGCTTTATAGTGACATCCCCTCCTGATGCTGTTTGATAAACGCCATCTACAGCACACAAAAAGAGAGACTGAATTATAACGAGTAAAGCTTCATTGAACATGTGAAAACTGCACAGGTAAACTTCACATGTTAATCTTCATGTTGTAGATGATTATTGACTATCTGTAACAGTTGACAATAATAAGCCATCATAATGTAAGTAAACAATAAACAAAACTTAGTAGAAAAGATTGAACACAGCACATGGCTAGAAAGCGGTTTATTCCACATAACTGACGAAAAGTAAAAAATGTTATTGAGAATATTATTTTATCTACAGGACATACGAGGTGAAATAAATAACAAAGAATAACTAAAACTAATTATGAACATAGTAATAAACATTAATGTGTCATACTGATATTAGTTTAATAGTGTTTATACATGTGTTACTCTTATGCTTTTGTTTTAAATATGCGTTTATGAGTGAAGTGTTGTCTTTTATGGGGTTTATTTATAGTACAGCACACTTTGGTAGTTGTAAAATGCTTTATAAATAAAAGTTTGAATGGAATTGAATATTAATGTACATCATATTACTAAATTAGTCTTCAAGTTCTTCTAAACCTGTATAGAGTTTAATAAGTGTGGCTTAATACAGCTTTACAGAAAAGTATGAAAACATTTACAATGGTCAAAGTTTTGATTTTTTTGTTTGAATGTTTGTAATTATACTGCTGCTTCCTTCTTAAAACCTAAAAAAATGTTCTGAATAAAACCTACAGAAAAAACAGAAACTTACATTTTTGATAATGAATTTTGGATAAATATTTTTCATTAATAAACGGTTATGGCTTTATAAATATTTAATAATATATTTGCAATAAAATCACAAACATTCTGCTGAAATGGTCTTGAGAAAATCCAGTCTCAAATCATATGACCTGAAGATTTTAATATTCATAGAAATTTAAAAGGCAAACACACAGTGTATCTTTTAAAAGCTGTTAATGAGTTATTGAGTGAGTTCAAAGAAAAGTAAACATGACCTACATAATGCAGCTTATTACAGTGAACACTAGACAGGGGTCACTGCTGAATATGTGAACAGCAAACAGACTTCAGGAGATTATTACCCCAGTAACTTTAGCAGTGAACACTGGTGTCACAATAATATTATAATGAGCTAAAAAACCTCACCTAAATGAAGAGCATTACAAAAACTGCTCCAGCAACACAATGATATCATCAGTTGAAGAAAAAGAAACATTACAAAATAAAACATTTGTATTTGATGTTGTTGAGAAAGGATGAAGATCAATGGCCAAAAAGATTTGGCAAAGAATTTCAAGAAATTTCACTGGAACGTTATCAATATTATATATCAATATCATATAATAGTTACCAATGTTATAATACAACAGAAACAAAATTAGATAAATGAATTATATAAATCAAAGTCTGAGACAATATAGAAGGGAATAAAATAGGTTTCTATAAATTTGTAATGAACTATACATGAATTATTTAATTCAAGATCCACATAATTTAGGTCACAACTTCATATTAAATCATTATAACCATTTTCTTTATATAATATACTATGCATCTACATATAGTCAAGTGTTCATTCATTTTCCGTCGGCTTAGTCCCTTCAGGGGTCGCCACAGCAGAATGAACCGCCAACTATTCCAGCATATGTTTTACACAGCGGATGCCTGTCCACCCGCAACCTAGTACTGGGAAACACCCACACAGACTTGCATTTACACACACACTCATACACCACAGCCAATTTAGTTCCCCTACAGCCCATGTGTTTGGACTGGGGAAACTGGAGCACCCGGAGGAAACCCACGCCAATAGGGGGAGAACATGCAAACTCCAACTGACCCACCCAAGACTCAAATCAACAACCTTTTTGCTGTGTGGTGACAGCGCTAACCACTGAGCCACCGTGCCACCATACAATATTTTAGAATTTTAGAGTTGTGAAACAATATTTAGATATTTACAATATTTTTACATGCTGCCATATCTATCTATCTATCTATCTATCTATCTATCTATCTATCTATCTATCTATCTATCTATCTATCTATCTATCTATCTATCTATCTATCTATCTATCTATCTATCTATCTATCTATCCCTTCGTGGGCTTTTACCTACTGGAGGGGGTAGGCGGGTCTGCGACCAGCGCCCTATGGCTGCAGGACCAGATGGCTGCCCACCCTCATCTGACTATATCCACACCCCCTGTAGCAATGTTGTGTCTTGTCTTTGTGTTTATGTGCTAGGTTGCTGGGGCTTTCTCTCTCTCTCTCTCTCTCTCTCTCTCTCTCTCTCTCTCTCTCTCTCTCTCTCTCTCTCACACACACACACAAACGCAAACACAAACACACACACACATAAATATATACATACAGTATGTCACAAAAGTAAGTACACCCCATCCCATTTTTGCAAATATTTATATAGTATTTAAAAGTAGTCAGTGTATAGGTGTATAGCAGTGTAAATTTATTGTCCTCTCAAAATAACTACAAATACAGCCAATAATAGCTGAAACCCTGGCAACAAAAGTGAGTACATCCCTAAGTGAAAATGTCAAAACTGAACACAATTAGTCACTTTTCTTTCCCTGTGTCATGTAATTCATAAGTGTTACACTTTCTTAGGTATCCACAGATAGCAGGTGAGTTAAATTTGGAATGAAAGCTTTTCCACTCTCTCAACCAGGCCACTGAAAGTTCAACATTGCACCTCATGGCAAACAACTCTCAGAAGACCTGAAAAACAAATTGTTGCCTTACATAAAGATGGCCTAGGCCAGGGGTCGGCAACCCGCGGCTCTAGAGCCGCATGCGGCTCTTTAGCGCTGCCCTAGTGGCTCCCTGGAACTTTTTCAAAAAATGTTTGAAAATGGAAAACGATGAGGGAGGTAAATATATTTTTGTTTTAATATGGTTTCTATAGGAGGACAAACAATCTTAACGTTTTCCAATGCTGTAAAAGTGTGTAGAATATTTAATTTCAACATTTCTGTCAACGAAGATTTGCGTCATAGCCTGCGACACACGTTTCTATCAGCAGGGCGGGATGCCAGGCAGGTAGCTGTTGTAAACAAACCGGCGGCTGTGTGATGCGCCATGGAGCGCAAGCTGTCTTTGCCAAAGATGTACAGCGGGGCACGCTTTCTCATTTTTCCTCCCTGAGAGAATTCTAAGAAGCCCATCCCGATCACTCACTCAACGGTGATTATTTACAAGGTGCGATCGTTGATATGCAAACTGCATTTGAGAGCAGATTTTGCGAGTTGCGAAAGGAAAAAACGAGACTGTCTTTCCTTGACACACACCCCTGGAGATTGACCCTTCCTTGTTAAGCACTAGGGTTGTAACAATATACCGGTATGACGGTCTACCACGATTTGAACGTGCACGATTATCATACCATGAACAATTGCATATCAACGGTTTTAACCCTTAAAGACCGAGACAGCCGCCCGCGGCTAAAAATAAGTGTTGCTCTTAAATGTTTAATAACTTTTGATCCGCTAATCTGATTCATACAGTTCAAAGATTGGCATAAAGAAGAGAATCTCAGCTTTCCAGTGCTGTATCACATAACATTCGCGGACTTTCAGAGGCTCCGGAATCAGTGCGGTTACGTCATCAAAATTTGACAACGCTGATTTGACAAAGAAACGCTCGTCACTGTGTCTCCGGACAAACCAGACATGATACATTGATGCATTATCCCTCCTCCATTCCCAGATTGGTTCAAACTCGCTATATCACAACCAATAAGCATAGGTTTCGCTTTTGTTTGTGGACTAACAATGAGCTTTTTGAACAACACGGAATGAGAGATAGGCATATATTTATGCGCGGCTAAATTAAACGCAAAAAAAAAAGTTTTGTATGAAATAATTCTCATACTAAGTACTTTTGCATGCACAGCAGCACAGAAACATGACAAAACAGTGACACAGCAAAGACGAACTGCTGCTGCTAAGGATGTTCCATATTGAATCTAGTTTCGTTATGTAACTATTTATAGTATAGTAAATATTTATATCTATTTTTTTACTGAGGATTTGCACCATGTTTATTTGGACTTTATTTGGACTTTGACACATTATTTATTATTTTCTTATTTTTTTATTTGTTCATTGTAAGTGGTGTTGTTTATAGTAGCTGAAAATATATTATTTGGAAAAAGTCAAATTTGCTTCACTGTTCTATTATTTTGTAACATTTATAACATACCGTATACCGCGAAACCGTCAAA